CTATAACTTAGTAGTAAATCATTCATAACTTAATAGTAAATTATTAATAATTTAATAATAAATCACTGATAACATAATAATAATTAGTAATAACTTAACTATCAATTGGTGATAATTTTTTTGTACTTGAAGTTTTTAATGATTAAACTCTGGTTACTAGCATGAGTAAAGTCAAAACTTACTAATAAATTATTTATAATAATAAATCAGTGTTAACTTAGTCGTAATTTATTGATAACTTAATGATAAATCAATTATAATTTAATTATAAATCAGTGATAACAATAAATTAATGATAACTTATAATAAATCAATTTTAGCTTAATAGTAAAGTATGGATAACTTAATAATAAATTATTCATATTTTAATAGTAAATTAGTGATATAACTAAGTTGTAAATTATTGATAATATATAGTAGTAAATCATTGCTAACTTAATAATTTTCTTTTGTTTTGGTTGAATATTGACATAGAGCTATATATTTTTTTCATATGTGTAACATATTTGATTCATTTAAAAAATTATATTTATTGCCATTTAATATCAAGGTATTGAATTACAAATATTTGTGGATATTGTACACTTATATAAATGATTAAAACAATATTCATGTACCAATTACTATAATGACATAATTTTATTAAAAAAAAATCAATTTTTGAAGTGAAAATTTGGAATGACTTTATCTAAATTTGAATGTCATCGATCGTCTACTTGATAATAAATTAATTGTAACTAGATTAATGCTATGTCTTTACTAAAAATAAAGTATTATGTTACGTGGTATTTTTTATAACACTAATAGCAACTATACAAAAAATTATTGTCTTTAAAGATACTTTTAAAATGAAAAAAACAAATAATGAGTCTAAACTTATTAGAAAACACCATAGAAAAATTACCTATAAGTTATTTTCTCAAGTACATAATATTTTAAATTAAAATATATGATTTATTAATATTAATAATAGTATGAATTCTATAAATTATAATTTTATAACAATATAATTTAAATGATGAATTTTTTGTATGACTTATACTAGATATATAATTAAGTGTTCATCGAATAAAGAAATTACTCCATTTTAATTAAAAAAGAGTTCAAATATTAAAAATATATTCATTATCAATTTTAAAGTCTAAGATTTAAAATATAGTTAAACTTTAAAATATAATAATATCCTTTGATATTTATGTAAAATAGGTCATATCTATTAATTTTAGAATTCATATATTTCATTATTTAACAAACAATAATAATATTGAACCAAAATTAATTGAGAAATGTATTTCAATATTTAAAGAACAACATAAAAATACTATTTGATTATGATAAAATATACCTTTAAGTATGTTATTTAAACCCTTATTATAACATATTTTAATAGGTTATGCATATTTAATGGCTTTTTAAGAAATCAATTTTTTATATTAAAAGTAATTTTAGTCAATATCCCTTGTAAATATATAAATAAACATCATTGATGATTACATCGAGATAATAATAGTTCTTGATTGCTTAAAATCTTTTTTTTAGAATATGTTTATAAATTAATATTTTTTAATTAGTAAATTTCATGTACAAATGCATTTTTTTACTATAAAATTAAACTACAAAATGATTTATAAGACATAAATAAGTACAAATCAAAAACAAAAGTAAGTGATCATGAAAAAGAAAACATTATGTATTTACTTTATTTGAACCAACAAAAACTTTATAATAATATGGTTTCAAATCAAAATAAAAAATTTAAATTTTAAATAGCGAATAGATGAAAATTAAGAGTTTAAATGAATTCAATGATGATCGATTACTTCACAAATTTATAAAATTGAAAATAAAAATCCACTACAAAAAAAGTTAAAAGAAAAAGCTTGAGAAAAAGCATAAAATAAAGAAGAAAAGGAAGTACAAAATTCAATTTGATTGTGATAGAAAATAATTATCTGAAAAAATTTAAAAAGAAAGAAAAAATACATAAAAGAATGAATGAAGATGATGACCTAAAACCAAAAAACTTAAAAGAAAACTTCTAAAAAAAGTTAAAATTGAGAAAGATTAAATATTTATTCTTTATTAGATTTTTAATTTAAAATTTTTGTTATATTTATTTTTTTTCAAACTTAAATTTATATTTCCAATTTAATTTAGTATGATGATAGTTATTTCAATTTTATTACTATAAAAGTATTAAAATTATTTTTATTATATTAGAATTATAATTTAGTTAACAATTTCGTGCTATATAATATATATTTATAACAAATTTCTTGATTTTAAGGGTTTGTAAGTAATAATTTAATATTTTATATCATAAAAATTTTTAAGTACTTAAATGAAGATGATTTAAGAATCTATCCCATTTGCTTGTAAGACTGCATTTTGGCATCTTCTGCTTCATGGTTTGCGCTTGGAAGAATGTCTTTTTTGATGTTGCAAGTAGGTGAAAAGCTTAATTTTCTCCAAATAATTGAGATTGCCTTCTACAATATAGTAATGATCAAAATTTTGAGATGGTATGCATGAACTGGTCTTGCATATAACAATAGTTAAAAGTGACAACCAAGATTAAAAAAGTGCATTGTGTACTAATTTTCTAATAAAAAATATAAGCTAGTCAATTATCTTCTTATCCTGGGAACTGTTAGACATGATTCTTTTATGGAATGATCAATATGAAATGTAGTTTGGCCATTTTTGCTCTTGGTTCTTTGATCCACTATTTTATCCTATATCAAGTACAGAACAATCCAAATTTTCCTTCCAATAGTTGCCAAATGCAAAGGCGTATTTTCATCATTATAAGGTTGGTTTATGAGTCTTTTCCGTTTCTATTGTTTCCAGCATATACCTGATGACATTACCTTTCCCACTAAGGAAAGCAGCATGTAGAGTATTGCACCCACATAAATCAAGAAGTTCTGTAGATTTTGGACATTTTCAAATGATCTCTCTTATAACATTAACATGACCATTGCTAGCTGCAACATGAAGTGGTGAGTGACCATGTTTGTCCAATATATATACAACACTATTATCAAGTTCTAATAAATGTTTCACTGTTTTATGGTCTCTTAGAGATGCTGTATAGTGGAGAGAGGTTCTTTCATGATGGTCAACTTTTTTGATCAGCCATGGTTTGGCTCTTAGGAGGGCTTGCATGATACCTTACATTTACACAAAAAATTTGTTAAGATAAAGAAAACTAGAAGCACTATCAAAGGGAAATACTTAGCAAAAATCTAATATCTCTATTTTGATATAGAAATTAGAATTGCAAGAGTTTTGAAACAGCAAGAACTATAATGTTGTGTAAGAGAAATTTGTGAAAATAAATGAACCAAACATGAAAATTATCATAATGGCTTTCAATAACAGCAGCATGCAAAGTTGTTTGGCCATCTGAACCCCCATAAGCTACGAACTTATTTGTTGATGTCATAATTTCATTCATTATCTCTAGCTTTCCTTCTCTATAAGCAAGATACAAAGATGATTCACCAGCAAAATTTTCTAAAAAAGCCTATTTAGGATCGACCTTTAGAAAGAGTTGAACCACTCTAAGATGAACATTCCTGAAAGCTTCATGCAAAACTATGTTGTTTTCCTTGTTTCCCATTCTTAGAATCTCAAACTTTCTAATGATTTCATCTTCATCAGTTTCTCTCCAACCTGCCTTTGTAGCAATATGTAAAGGTGTATCTCCATCTAAATTCAGCTTTTATCAAAAGTGATCCACGCTTGCCATAAATCTCATTGACAATAATCTTGTGTCTAAATTTCATAACTGTGTTTTCTTGGGGAGTTACTTTTAAAAGTAGTATTGGATTTTGATATAGAAAATGTTTGAGGGAACAAACTTTGCCTAACTTGACATATTGGTTGAATTTTTTATCCATTGAATGATCATATCTAGAATTGTTAACAGGGAAAGCTTTTGATTCCCTAACTACATTATAAAAAAAAAGGTATATTCCCTTTTACAACCTGACTCTATACAACATTCAGTCAAAATATCATTAGCTTGCCTCTTCATAGATTGAAATATAGCTTTTGCTTTAACTTTTACTAGATCAAAATAAAATATACATAGGTAGAAAATCATTCTAGATAACAAATTCAATACAATTGGCCAACATGGACTACTTCAAGGGGTCCAAGTTTGTGACTTGACCAAAGCTTAATATTACAAAAAATTGCATGAAGGAAAAAGATAATGGAAAGTTATGTACAAACTTAGAAAGAAAAACAAGTTTTTAAAGTTTCCAAAGGTGACAGTTTCATGACTTTTCAAGCCGTGTGCAATTTAATAATCTAAAGTTTTGTTCTTATTTTTTTGGATAAAAGTTGCTTAAAGGCACAAAACATGAAAACAAATGCTAATCTTCTAAATATAAAATATTTGAGGCTGACCCAGCAAATCAGGGCTATCTCATTTTACAAAAGAAATTTTCTACTGCATTTCCCACAACATTATCCTTAGCTACATGATTGGTTGAAATTATTAAAATTAATATTTATTTTGTTGCCAAACATAAACAATAAATCGACCAATTTCAAAACACAATAATTCATTTCATATGGCAAAAAAAATGTGTATTTATTAGATTTTGTTTAGATTAATTTTAAAATTGAGTCAAAATAATTTGTTAAACAATTTTTATTTTATTTGAATGTACTTGATTTAAAAATATTATCATAATTATTATCTCAATAAATATTTCAAATTATTAAACTATCAAATAAACTAAATATATTAAATCTCATTCTAATTAATTTAGATTTAAAATTATTTTATCCAAATTATTCGGAGAAGGCTCAATAAAACATTGTAGCCTATCTTATTTTGAATTCTTATTATTTCATTTTTTAATTTTAATTTCTTTGAAAAAAAGTCAAAATAATAAATAAAAAAAAAAACAGAAAGCTTGAAAACTCTAGACAGTCAAAATTCAAATAATTCCACTGTTGAATTCAAGTCGATTGCCAACTGTATTGTTGTCTAACTTGCCAGCACAAAAATTGTAAAGTCTTTCTCAAATCTCATAAAATCGGAGATTTGAATTAAAGTGTTTCTCAAATCTAAAAAAATTGGGGATTTGAATTGGATTTGGCGAAAAATTGAGGCAAGAGAGGAGGTTAATCTTTTCTGAAGAAACTTTTGAAAGGAATTTTTTTCTGGAGGCCAATTTTTGGACGAAGAAGGCAATGCCAAAAATCCAACAAGCCATTCCCTCCACCTGCAACCATGTGTACCACCATACCTTCCCGCCTTAAACTGTCACCACCATCCCATTCCCTTTCCTTTGCCAGCCGATCACCAACCCAACCCCACCGATCTCCCAACTACCCCACCAGGAACAGCTCCCATCTCCCACCTACCCGCCTTCCACAGCCCTACTGAGATAGATAGCCATCGAAACTGCCAAAAAATAAATAGCAACTGTCACAGCCAAAAACAAAAAATCAAAAAACCAAGCCAACACAGCCAAAAAAAAATTGCAAACAACCACACTCCTCTATTGAGGAATCCATCAGAAAAAAAAAAGAAACAGAAAAGGGCCCGTTGAGGATGGAAAGGGCTTTCGGTCATAGGATTTTTTTTTTTTTTGTTTTTATGAGTAATTTGGGAGAGTATTTTTAAGATTTTGGGAAAGGAGAGAAAGGAGCTATTTTTTTGGGCGGTGGAGCGACGGCGGCGTATGGAGGTCAGCACGGGCGAGGAGACTTTTGGATGATCTGAACTGGTAGAAAGGAAGGATGGAAGGGGAGAAACAACATAGTTTGGTTTCAGGACGACCGGACGGCGAGAAGAGGGTGAACGGCGGTTTAAAATTTCGGGTTAAAGTTTCAGATCTAAGCTATTATGAGATGATTTGCGAAATACAGAGGCTGAATCTGAGACAAGAAGGAAGAGAGTCCACGGCTGAAATTTTGGAGTCGACTGACGCCGAACGGCGCCGGTCAACGGCGGCCAGGTCGGCTACTGTCGCCGGGATTTGGGTTAGGGGAGAGTGGCCGGGTGTGTCTTTTTTGGAGAGAAAATGTTGCATTTGATACAAAAAATGGAAAACTCAGGTTTGATGCTCCTCACCCTACCCTCTTACAATGTTTGTATTTATCAAAGTGATCAATGAATATGGAATTGTCTAATGATGTTGTAGATAAGGTATGTGCCACTGACATTTTTATTATCTTATATATTTTATCCAATTAAAGGTTTGCACAGTACAAAAGAATATTAAAGAAAATTGATAAGTATGAAGGTGGTTTGGAGGCATTTTCTCTTGGCTATGAGAAGTTTGGCTTTACACATAGGTTACCATTCTTCCAAATATCTAATTGTTAGCATGGGCTTATTTTTCGTAGTTGTAATGTTCTATATTAATTGTAGCTCCCGTGGTTGCATGTTATTGCTTTTTACGCTAAATGTAATTTGTTTTGATTTATTACTCTTTCCGGTTCAAATGAACAATTTTCAATTAAATGAAATTAGTGTTGGAATATTCTTGTGATCGATTTGTGTGGGAACAGTGAACATGATTTTTTAGATCTTTTATTTTTATATGTTTAAAATTTAGGCAAATCAATCTAAGAAAGAAATCAGTTCCTTGATGCTCAACAAAGTGTGGAACAAGTATTTGGTCCTTTGGTGCAAGAAAAAATTGAGAATTTTATTAAAGCCCTTAGAATTAGTCCTTTCTCTATTATTTCACTTTTATATATTTTATTCTATTTATTTATTTATTTGTGAATGTCTTCTCCTTGTTTCCTTTATCATTTCTTAGTATTACATTGCTTAAGAGCTATCTTGTTAACTTTAATTTTTAGTAAAAATGTTATTCTCCATTCATGTTTTTTTCTGGTCTTAGAAGTTGTTTTATGATAAGCTGATATTGCTCTTTTTGGTATAATCTCATATGGCTTTCAATGAGACAGGAATAACTTACAGGGAGTGAGCACTGGGAGCTAGGGTTTTTTATGCATCATTTTAACATTTTGAGATTTTAACCATTAATCTTACTAACTTCTATGCAATCAAAAAAGTCTTATTAACTTCTAGGTATTTTGTTTTCTCTTCAATTTTTGTGATTATTTTGCTGCATTTTCTTTTTCAGTCAGCAGCACTGATTGGAAATTTTAACAATCGGAACCCTAATGCAGATATTATGAGCTGGGTATGTTATGCTTTCTTGTGCAAGAATAAATGCCACATGTGCATTGAATTAATATTTTCCATGTCTGTAAGAATTGACCTACCATTGATGGGTTACTTGACATTAAGTGAAGTTCATAATAATTGACCAATACTTTAGTAGGTGCACCTACAAGTGATTTTCTTTTATTGTTTTCTGAATCTTTTCCTTCTATACATGACATACATAATGCAGTCACAAGATGGAGTTGGTGCTGTCAAAATATCGATAACTCTGCACTTTGTTTCTAAGGCAGCTTTCTTGCAATTTTATATCTATTGATGAACTACACATCATTTGTGTTGCTTTTAATGAGCTACTGTCTCCCCTACTTTTCTCTTTGACTCTGACCAATGTGCTCTACGATGTATGCCTTAAGAAACTGTAGTATTTGCAATACCAACCATTCATAAGTAAATGCTTATATCTTCTCTAAATGCACATGCTGAAAGAAGTTAAAAGTTATTTAAGTTTGGTTTGTCAAAACAGTTAGCTTAATGTTGAATCTGAATGTAAACATGTGTGTTGATTTACATTGGCTGTGATCTATTGTCTATTTCTATATTTAAATAACATTTAGTGTTTAATACTACAAATATTAATTGTTTTTTAACAGAATGAGTTTGGTGTCTGGTAGATCTTATGGCTTAATAATGTTGATGGTTCACCACCAATTCCCCATGTTCTCAAGTGAAGGTAAGTTACTTGTAGATGAATATAAGTTTGGCTCTTGAAAGTTATTGTGCTTACATTCAAATGTTACTTGTTTATTATTTCCTTTTTCCACTTTTTAAGTCAGTAAAAAGAAACTATAAAAACTTGCAACTCTTTCCTTGTAGATCAACAATGTATTTAACCTTCTGATCATGACCTATGGACCAGGAACCTTTAAGTATGATGCTTTTTTTTTACACTAATCCTATTGCATGTGTATATGGTTTGAATAAATCATTGGTTTGTACTACAACCTTCACAATAATTAATTACTAGAATTCATGACATAAAGGCATTGAAGTATTTAATGGGGTGGTCTTCAAGTCAAGCAAAATTATTCAAGGTAGCTGAGTTCAAATCCAACTAACTCCCGTCCTAAAAAGAAGGGAGAAAGAAAGAAAAGATGAAGACGAAAAAAAAACATTTTTCTGGTATTACTAAATAATGAGTATTACTTTAATTAATGATAATGCAAATGCCAAATAGCTAGTGACTTGGATCTCTGTTAACTGCTTTGTGTATAGAAATATTTTAAATAGTAGTTTCAAATCAATAACATAGAAGTTGGTTTGATTGCATTTCATTATGATTCTTCACCCATTTCTAAAATCCATTAAGAAGCCTAAATTTGTAATTAAACCAAAATTTATCTCTAGTTTTCATCATACTATCATTCAAAGAAAATTTGTCCCACAAACACCTTTAGTCTTTATCTTCCATGCTACATTTTGGTATGGTTAATCCATTTCCTAGTTTTCTTAATATTTTCAACTCTGAGATGTAGGAGCCAATAATTAGCACATATGCCAACTTTGGAGATGATGTGCTTCCCCACAGTAAAAGACTTGGATATAATGCTGTTCAAATCATGGCTATACAAGAGCACTCGTATTATGCTAGATTTGGGTATTATCTCCATCAAAATATCAGCTCATCTTTATTTGTTGCTGTTTATGTTTGTTAACTTGTACTAAAATGTTATGTTTTGGATGTAAACAGAAATATTTCTTCAGAATTTAGTTTTGGTTATGAAAACTAACCTTTTCTACTTTTAACAAGTTGCATTTAATATGTTGCAGGTATCATGTGACAAACTTCTTTGTACCAAGCAGTCGTTTTGGAACCCTTGATGATCTTAAGTCACTGATAGATAGGGTTCACGAATTGGGTCTACTTGTTCTTATGGATATTGTGCACAGGTAATAATTGGACTTGCAGGAGAATATCATTTCTAGAAACACTCCCTTCAGCTTTATTAGTTGTTACAGTTTTGTGCAAACGATTTTTCCCAGCTTTTTCGTACCAAAAATGAAAATATAAACTCTTTTTCTTCTTTTCCTGCTTAGACTGTATGGTCATTCTTCCAGTAGACTTGATGCAAATATAGCCATGAGAATTTAGGCTGTTATTGGTCCTTACTTAATTTAGGCTGTTATTGGTCCTTACTCTTACTATGTTTTTTCTAGTTGCTTTTGGCTTCCTAAAAGGTTTCTAAAGAACAAACCTAAAATGGAGAAAGCAAAGTCATAATTGTTTGAAAATATATATGATTAAATGCAATAGAATTTGTAGTATAATTGTTCTATTAAAAGAGGAATCATAGTATTTTGTTCTACAAGAGATTATATTTTTTATTTTTAATTCTTATAAAGTATTATTGTCTTATCTACCCAAATGTACTTTCTGCTTCTGGAAGCAAAAAGCTAGTAGCAAAAACAACTACGAAATGGAATCTTACTGTATTGTTTACAATGAAAGTTTTTGTCTTTTGCATGTCGTTAATGTTAAATTCTTTTCTAAGCTGTAGCAAATTTTTATTCAAGTATTTGCTCTGTTGCTTTGAGTAAGTAATCTTTTGCTGTAAGTCTCAGTTAATTTTTATTCTTTAGTTAAATTAAGTTATTAATTAATTTTCTCATCCATCTTTGTATCTGACTGATGTTTGACGAATACAGCCATGTATCTAATAATGTGTTAGATGGATTGAACATGTTTGATGGAACCAATGCTCATTACTTCCACTTGGGGTCAAAGGGTCACTACTGGATGTGGGATTCTCGCCTTTTTAATTATGGAAGCTGGAAAGTATGTACTTCTACTGAAACTTCTCTTAAACAATAGCTTGTTGAAAGATTTTGGCTTCCTTCCATCCTATTGTGTGTAAATATTAATTTTTACTTGTTGCTTTAGGTACAAAGGTTTCTTCTTTCAAATGCAAGATGGTGGTTGGAAGAATACAAGTTTGATGGGTTCAGATTCAATGTTGTGACTTCAATGATGTACACCCATCATGGGTTGCAGTTAATATCAAAGTGAGTTTGCAGATTTTCTATTTTGCTTGGTGTTATATAATAAGTTACTCACATGTTTAGGTGTTAATTATCAAAGTTTTGACTTTATGTTATATAGAGAAGTAGAACTGATGTAACATTTGGTTCTTGTAAGTCGTGAAACATCATTTCTCTATGTTTGTTTCTTAACTAAATTCTCTTGAGGACTAAAGATTTTTAGTGTCATTGCATCTTTATAATGTATTATCCCGGCTTAACCTTTGTTTTCTTAAACTTGTTGTAGGTAGCATTTACTGGAAACTACAATGAGTACTTCGGATATGCGACTAATGTAGATGCTGTTGTCTATCTGATGCTAGTTAATCATATGATTCATGGGCTATATCTTGAGGCTGTCACCATTGGTGAAGATGTATGTTCTATAACTCTTCTTTGAGTCACATTGAGCATGCTTCGACTTATAATCATTTATCTGTTCCAGAATTATGATGTCTGCTTTAAGTCCCCTGTCTTTTCTACAGCAACATTTGTTGAACTGGGTTGCATAAATGGAATAGGGTTTCAATACTTTTTTACGTGATCCATGAAGATGCTAAGTGTAGAAATGGTTTTGAAAAAGTTTGCACACGTACTTGTGTGTGTGAAGCCTACCAAACATTTGTGTATTGTATATGTTTTTCTAACTCTCTACTGCTTCATCACTTCTCTTCATGCATCAATTGAATCCATATGCCATGAATAAGTAGGTTACCTTGCTAGTAGTTAAGTGTTTTGATATTGTAGAATGAACTAAAGAATTGTTAAAAATGCTTGTTGTAAATTGAACTAATTTTTATTGTAGACCAAGAGTTATGGAAACATAGCAACTAAAGATGCCAAAAATGAAAATTCCAAAAACACTTGAAGGGAACAAACAAGAATCTGTAGAAATCTTAAAATATCCTTGCTTTTCACATATTTCATCTTTTGTGCAAATAATTCACCTAAAGAGCTACTAGCACAACAAAAGGTAATTTATGTTTTACCCTTCAGAAATATTAGCACAGTAAGGAACATTTAATTGATAAAATGTTTATATTGGAGTGATTTAGTTGCAGATTTTCATATATTATTTGCAAAAATAACATTCTTTAAGTTCTATGAATATTGAAGAGGAAACGAAACAATAGTTGAAAGTAGACTTCACCATCTTAAAATGTCATCTATCATAATAATCAATTCTCCACTGCTTTTCTTTTTGACTCTGACCCATGTGCTTTAAGATGTATGCCTTAAGAAACTGTAGTATTTGCAATATCAACTATTCATAAGTCAATGCTTATATCTTCTCTAAATGCACATGCTAAAAGAAGTTAAAAGTTATTTAAGTTTGGTTTGTCAAAACACTTAGCTTAATGTTAAATCTGAATGTAAACATGGATCTTTTTATATGTCTGTGGACATGAATATTCTTTTTAATGGACCAAAGATTAGGTGTATAGTCTGGTGCAGTTGATATTCTTAAAAGCTTCAAATAGAAAAGTTTGGAAGATAAACCTTGTCAAAGTTTTTATAATTAAGTGCAAAAGTCACCTTGCTTATGTAACAATTAATTGTATCAGCTAATTCATATATTTAATGCCATGCAGTCTCAAATATAAAAGGGAAGGTGACTGTGTTCTAAGTGCTTAGAAAGCTATGTTGATTTGCACTGGCAGTGATCTATTGTCTATTTCTATATTTAAATAACATCCAATGTTTAATTCTACAAATATTAATTGTTTTTTAACAGAATGAGTTTGGTGTCTGGGAGATATTTTGGCTAATAATGCTGATGGTTCACCACCAATTCCCCATGGTTCTCAAGTGAAGGTAAATTACCTATAAATGAACATAAGTTTGGCTCTTGAAACTTATTTTGCTTACATTCAAATGCTACTTGTTTATTATTTCCTTTTTCCACTTTTTAATTCAAAGTAAAAAGAAACTATAAAAACTTGCAACTCTTTCCTTGTAGATCAACAAGGTATTTAACCTTTTGATCATGATCTGTGGACCAGGAACCTTTAAGTATGATGGTTTTTTTTAACACTGATCCTATTGCATGTGTATATGGTTTGACTAAATCATTGGTTGTAGTACAACCTTCACAATAATCAATTACTAGAATTCATGACATAAAGGCATTGAAGTATTTAGTGGGGTGGTCTCCAAGTCAAGCAAAATTATTCAAGGTAGCTGAGTTCAAATCCAACTAACTCCTACCCTAAAAAGAAGGGAGAAAGAAAGAAAAGATGATAAAAAAAAAAGCCATTTTTTTGGACTGTTATGATCATGTTAATTATCATTCAGCCAAACCTCTTTTTCCATATGTCCATTTTAACTTTTTGACCATATAATTGTAGATTCGTATGGAAACTCCATTTGGGATTAAGGACTCCATTTCTGCTTGGATCAAGTTCTCTGTTCAAGCACCAAGTCAAATTCCATACAATGGAATATACTATGATCCGCCAGAAGAGGTATAGTTAGTGGCTATTTGATCTTTTGGTTTTGTTGGAAATATTAGATAACTTATTCTTTTCGAACTATAAGCAATTGAAATATTTGGAGCTTGGGCAAAATTAGAAATACTAACTAATGTTTATGATAATTTTAAAGTGATTGCATGTGTGAAGATACATAGACAAAAGCATGCATGCATGCCTGCACACAAATATGGTTAATTGATTATATAAACAAATAATGAATTTCTTATTCATCTTAGAGTAGGTTGTTTTGATGAACGTCTTCCTTTATAATGTTAATATTAAGATCAATGCCCTTAAAGGTTTTTAAGAAAACAATTTTGATTGGTTCTTTTTCATATATGAAGTCAGTTTCTAAATTGTGTTCTCGCTTGTTCAAGTTTAATCACTGCACAGCACAGTCAACTTAGTTTAATCTGTAATATGTCTTATCTCAAATTTTTGTACTCTCTAACCTGACTAATGATTTTTATACTGTAACAAAAAAAGTATTTATTCAAACACTGCCAGCAAAAAAGACCAAAATCACTTATGTCTACGAATTACATGTTGGAATGAGTAGCATGGTATGCATCTTCCTTCCCCTTGCATGTAGAAAATTGTTATTCAACTCTTCTGTCTCTGCGTTGAATTGTATTTCCTTGATTTACTTAACCTTAAAAGAGGAAACCTTAAGTTTGATAAAAAGCTTCATGACATGCTATCATGTGTGGGATCATATTTTTTATGCCATTTCTTTTAACCCTTCCTATGAAGTGTTATTGCAAGGTTTTGAGATTGAAAAGTAAAGCAGGAGGTTTTATAAGACAACACATTTTACAGGAAAACTTATCTTAGTATCTGTATTTAAACTATCAATTTAACCCCCCCAAAAAAGGAAGATAGAGAGACATTGTGACTTGCATTGAACATCTTTAAAAGCATCAAACAGTATATCTGGAAAGTCCTGTAAATTTTGAAACGGAACTTTCCTACATCCTGTAAGTAGGGTGGCCTCTCTTAAAGAGAAAACTGTCAAATTAAGCTAGCAAAAAGCCACATAGGTGTATACAGCCTACTTTTCATGTTGTTTGGTTAAAGGAAGTCCTTCAATTTGGATTATACTAAATAATGAGTATTACTTTAGTTAATGATACTAATTTAATATTGATATTAATATTATATATAATATTATATGTAAACCATTTATTAATATAATATATAATATTATATATAAATTAATAACATTATTAATATAATTAATATTTGATTGATATTTAATTAATTAAAATAATATTTGTAAATAATTATAATTATAATAATATAAATAGATAATAATTAATATTACTAATATTCAAATAAGTAATAATTAAATATTACTTACTTATATAAACTAATATATTAATAATAATATATATTAATTTATAATAAAAATTATAAATAGTAATAATTTATAGCTTGGTAATTATTTATTATATATTTATTAATAATAATTCATATATATTATTTATATATATATTTGATTACTAAATCATATGGTCTTAAATATTATATAAATCATACTTATTATAATAATATAGAATAAATTAATATTATTATACTATAATTTATTAACAAAATTATTACAAGCAATTATTAATTATTAATAAGACAATTAGATTATAAATAGTTACTAAGCTATAATAATTAAGAAGATAGTATACGAGCTTATTAGTAATTAATATAATATATTACCAAATGACTATATTTAATATAATTATTATATTTAAATAAAATAATATAATATAATTACTAAATTATTAAATCATTCAAATGGTCATATTATAATCATAATATTTAATTATAATCGTATATATTAATAAATAAAATAACTATATAATTTTTTATAATAAATTAATTCTCAAAGTGATGTTATATTTTTTAAATATCAATATACTGTAGTTATAATAATAAATATTATTAGTATTATTAGAATAATTATTAATCCAAATGACTATAATAATAATTAATATTTGAATAATTATCAAATAACTAAAATTAATTATTAAATTATTAATAATAACAAATAAGTTATAAACAGTTGTTACATAATTAAATTATATAATTATTAATATTAGTTAATCAAGTTATATGTTACAAACTATTATTAATATAATAATTATATTGACATTATAAATTATTTTATATATGTAAATTCATCATATATAATATAATAACTTCATTAATTTTATATTAGCTTATAAATTTGATAACTATTATTTTATAAATGTCTTATTATGTTATTATATAATATATTAATTATTAATTAATAAATAATTTATTAAATATTATAAATAAAATAGTAATAATATATATTAAATATTTTCATTAATGTGTTTGCTGAACAAATTCAAATGGTATATTTTAATTAATATGAAAATAATTATTATTTTTGTATAATAATATTTACTTAAAATTATAAAATTTTATAAATTAATGAATAAATAATTTAATAATTTAGAGTTATTATTTTTGAATCACTATACAACTATTAAAATATATTAATATTAACTAATATAATAATCATATTATTAAAGATTAATTTATTTAATTAAATTACCTAATTTAATATTATAATATTATTAAATTATAGACAATTTTGACTATAATATATTTAACAATTAATATATTATTATATTAATAATAAATGTAAATTATATTTTATATAATTTAATAATTATTGTTATAGTCATTTGGTAATATATTATATTAATTACTAATAATTAATTATCTTATAATAAATTATAATCTAGTTATAATTATATTTCAATTATAAAATGATTGAAATAGTAATAAGATTTTTTCAAATCTTAAATTATATAGTTATTTTGAAATTTATTATCCAAATTATTAAAAAATATTAAAAATATATATAATAATTTCAATTATAAAATAATCATAGTTATAAATTATATTTTAATAATCAAGTTATGATATTATTATATATAAAATAATTTATATATAGTTATTTGCTATTTATAATAAATTATAATATTTATGATAAATATTTTATTAAATAATTTAACTAATATAATTATTAAATATATTATAATTATTATAAATATAATAATTTAAATTTACTCTTATAAGAATAAATGGTATTAACTAGTACCATTTATATGAAATATAAAGTATAATTAATATATAATATAATAATTAGTATCTTGGTTATTAATTAAGTTTATTATAATTAATTAAAAGCTAATTAAGTAAGATAAATTTAATCTAATAATATTTATAAATATAATTTAAAAAATATACTTATAATATTAGTTTTAATATTAATAATTATTAAATTTATTAATATATTTGAATAATATTCAAATAGTTGTTTGTTCAACTTATAATTAAAACAAGTTGGCCTTAATATAAAAATATTAATTATTTTTTTTAAAATTATAATAAGTATAAAATTTTTACTTAATTATTAATCTTCTTAATTATTTAAATCTCGTATTATATAATTTATAATAATAATTTAATTGTTAATTATATAATATAATAATTTTAATAAGTATTATATAGATTATCTAATAAATATTATATTATTCATATAACTTAATTAGTATAGTAATTATATGTTAAATTGTATTAATAATTGTTATTAATTGATATAATTATAATAATAGTTATTAATTAAATACTTATTATTATGTAATAACTATATATCATATCAATTATATTTATTAACATAGATTTAAGGATTCATACTTTATTAATTACAACTTTATAATTATATTATTATAATATTAATATTATATTAATAACAATTATTAAATTAATATGGTTTTGTAATATTAATTAATAATAAAACTATCAATTATTTTATCAAATAAAATTTATATTATTTATAGTAAGAACAAATCTATAACTTATATAGAATATAAGTTAATATAATTTAAATAAGATTAATAATTATATTTATGTAATTAATATTATAATATGAATAACTCTTTTAGATATTAAATAGTCATAACTAATAAATAGTCAAATAATTATTCAATAAATAATTAAATTGTTAATTAAAAATTAATATATTATTAGTAATAATTTTATATATTAAATAATTAAACTAAATTAATACAATAATAACTATATTGAATTATAGTTAATAAATTTAAATTAAATTAATTTATTATTAATAATATAATAATTGGATTGTATTATATTATAATATTAATTTGTAATTACAGTACTATAATATAAGTTATTATAATACTTAAATTAAATTAATTTAAATTAATATACTATTAATAATAACATTTTAATTATAACATTTAATTGTATTCTATATATTTAATTATAACCTTTTTATTGTACTATCGATTAGTACTTATTAATTAACTAAATTAATTTTTTCAATTATTAATATAATTGATTGTTTATAATTATAATTAATCATTAAAATTATAATGTAGAATATAACATTTAATAACTATTAATTATTAATTATTTTATTATAATAAATAACTTTTATTAGTTATTTATTTATTTTAATAATTATAAAAATTAATCAATAAATAATTAAATCTAAAAATTAATCAAAATTATTTTATCAAATTATATTAATGAGTAATTAATATAATATATATTATTAACAATTGTATAGTAATTTATGATATTGAATTAACTAATTCATATGAGATTTATCTAATTAAATTATTTGTATATTAGTAATAATCGATTCTTAGTTTAATTATTAATTGTATAAATTATAACTAAGAATTTAAATGATTCTTATTATAAATGTAATTGTATTTATTTTAAATTTATTTTATTTAATTTTAATAATCAATTTAAAATAAATATTATATACAATATATATTAAATTCTATAAAGAATTTAATTTAGTTATTTATATAAAAATTATTAATTATAATTTAATTAATTATTCAAAATATTTATTTTTATATCAAATAGTTTTTGGTATTTTAAATTATTATTTATAATAAAATATAATAATATTAAATAATTATAAAATTAAATTATAAATTAAAATTATTAAACTATATTAGTATTAATATATTTTATTATTAATTAATTATTATATTAATCAAGTTTAAATATTATTGACTTTTAGGTTTGTTGTTAACAATTATAATATCATAACATTTTTGATATATTAATAATTTAAAATTATAAAATTATTTTAAATATATATATAATATATTTATTATAATTTAATTACTAATAATAATATTAATGATTATTAATAATTTTTATAATTTGATAATTATACATTATACATTCATTTTACTACATACTAATAAATTTATTAGTACATATGAATAGATAACTTGCTTATTAATATTATTAATTAATAACTAATAAATTATCAGTATTATAATTAGTCTATTTATATTATAATTAGTTAACTTAATATTAAAATAAATTAATTGTAATATAATTTGATTATATACATTTAATTATTATAAAATTATTAACTAATTTAATTGTAATAAATTTATTAATAAGTAGATTAAATTATTTATTTAATAAAATTTATAAACCTTAAATTAGTATTATTTAAGCATATATAAATAATTTGCTTTTGTTATAAATTGAGGGATCTTTTCAATAAATTATTAATATTAATATTACTATTATAACTAGACGACATCTAATAGCTTTGGCTAATCTCTTTACATGGCACTCACATAGTGCCTGAGGTAGACCTTCAATGATCCATTCACTTGTTTGGTCTGCCCATCAATTTGCAAATGCATGCTAGTAGAAAAGTTCAAGTCTAACCCCAACAGCTTGAACAACTAAGTCCAAAACAAATAATAATTATTAATTATTAATTATTTATCTATTAATTAAGATTATTTAGTATTAATGCTAATTTATTAATATTTTAAAAATTAATATTAATTTTTATATAAATTGATATAAAAGCATAATTAAATATTTGAACTTAATAATTAAAATTCATTATTAATTATTTAAATTAATTAATATATAAAAATAATTTAAATATAATATAAATATTTAATTGAGAAGGCTAAGATTAATTTATAGTTATTTAATGTATTAGATACTATTTAATTTATATAGTTTATAAATATAGTATTATTTATATTATGTATAAATTAAT